TTCCATCTGAGGGTGGGGATTTCAATCTTCGGGTAGGGATTTCAATCTTAGGGTGGGGATTTCAATCTTAGGGTCTTAGGGTGGGGATTTCAATCTTTGGGTGGGGATTTCAATCTTAGGGTGGGGATTTCAATCTTAGGGTGGGGATTTCAATCTTAGGGTGGGGATTTCAATCTTAGGGTGGGGATTTAAATCTTAGGGTGGGGATTTCAATCTTTGGGTGGGGATTTCAATCTTAGGGTGGGGATTTCAATCTTAGGGTGGGGATTTCAATCTTAGGGTGGGGATTTCAATCTTAGGGTGGGGATTTCAATCTGAGGGTGGGGATTTCAATCTGAGGGTGGGGATTTCAATCTTAGGGTGGGGATTTCAATCTTAGGGTCTTAGGGTGGGGATTTCAATCTTTGGGTGGGGATTTCAATCTTAGGGTGGGGATTTCAATCTTAGGGTGTGGATTTCAATCTTAGGGTGGGGATTTCAATCTTAGGGTGGGGATTTCAATCTTTGGGTGGGGATTTTAATCTTAGGGTGGGGATTTCAATCTTAGGGTGTGGATTTAAATCTTAGGGTAGGGATTTCAATCTTAGGGTGGGGATTTCAATCTTAGGGTGGGGATTTCAATCTTTGGGTGGGGATTTTAATCTTAGGGTGGGGATTTCAATCTTAAGGTGGGGATTTCAATCTTTGGGTGGGGATTTAAATCTTAGGGTGGGGATTTCAATCTTAGGGTGGGGATTTCAATCTTTGGGTGTGGATTTAAATCTTAGGGTAGGGATTTAAATCTTAGGGTGGGGATTTCAATCTTTGGGTGTGGATTTAAATCTTAGTGTAGGGATTTCAATCTTTGGGTGGGGATTTCAATCTTAGGGTGGGGATTTCAATCTTTGGGTGGGGATTTCAATCTTAGGGTGGGGATTTCAATCTTAGGGTGGGGATTTCAATCTTTGGGTGGGGATTTAAATCTTTGGGTGGGGATTTCAATCCTTTCCTCAAGTATTTGAGCAAACCCCTCGCACCAGTACACTAATTTACAGGCACTAACCATCATTACATATTTTATCGTGCATACATATGTGACCAGTTTAGCGTTGTACTCACACACAATACCAGCCCACCTACCTACATTTTGCACTCATGTAATTATGATTGTGTGATCTTCACGCACTACTGATTTTTTGATGTTTTGTCGCCGAATCAAACACATGTTACATGTACAGTTCAGTGGTCGGGGTGAGCGTTAGTGTTGATTTCACGGAGAGCGGTCAGGCAGAATCCCACCATGTACACTACACACCCCCGGGCTTTGAACCCCCCTCCCCCCCCCCCCAATGAAATATGGTCGGTTTTTACAAGCTTTGACTTAGATCACATTGTCCGTAAAGTGTCTGTCCATCTGTCTGTGGGTGAGTGGGTTTGTTTTCAGAGCTTTGAACCCAAATTTTGGCGTGTAGCTAATGGGTCGATTTCTTTCAAATTTTGCGAATAAGTCCTCAGCAGGCTACAGTTATAGTTAGTTTTAAATTTAATTTGAATTTTTAAAGTAATCTATTGAAATAGTTTAATGATTGCAATTTTCCGAGTATTTAAGACATTTTTCTTGGGGGGGGGGGGGGGGGGGGAAGGGGAGTATGTGAATTCCTAAATACCAAAAAAATGTAGAAAATAAAAATAAATAATGCGATCAACTTAGGAAATACAGTGATCATTGAACAGTCCATAGTTATATAATAATTAAATATTTTCACTAACAATTTATAATTAAATATGTTCATAGTTATATATTTATTATGTTCACTAAAAAATTATAATTAAATATGTTCACTAACAATCCATAGTTTTTAGAAGTTTTTACTTAGTTAAAAATTTATGCATGTCTGTTGGTTTGGTCATGTTTAATCCACAAAGAGTCATTTCAATTTTCATTCTTGTGCAGCCTTCAATTTTAACTTTTTTTTCCCGGTTCGCGCAATCAAAATTTGATAGTTAATTATTTTATCCTAAAAATCAAAGCAGATTTGAACCCGAAAAGTTGATTACCTCCCGACTCACGTGCATGCGCGTTATGAACGTGACACGTGCCAGGACTGCTTGTATCTATTGTACCCTGGACATCAAAAACCACAAGAATGGAACATCTGGTGAATGATCAAACTGTGATACTTAATGTGGCGTCAACTTCAGAGAATGATGTTACCCATTCTATTAGTAAACATTATTATAGGGTTGTAAGGAGCCGTATGGAAACTGATCTTCGAGACCGCTGATGACGCTACCACACATATCTGTTGCAGCTAGTGATGTGGATGTAGCTAGTCTTGTGGTTGTAGCTAGTGTTGTAGCTGTAGTTGGTGTTGTGGCTGTAGTTGTTGTTGTGGTTGTAGCTGCCGTTGAGGTTGTAGCTAGTATTGTGGCTGTAGCTAGTATTGTGGCTGTAGCTAGTGATGTGGCTGTAGCTAATATTGTGGTTGTAGCTAGTGATGTGGCTGTAGCTAGTCTTGTGGCTTTAGCTAGTGATGTTATTGTAGCTAGTCTTGTGGCTTTAGCTGGTGTTGTGGTTGTAGCTAGTGATGTGGCTGCAGCTAGTGTTGTGGCTGTAGCTATATTGTGGTTGTAGCTAATGATGTGGCTGCAGCTAGTGTTGTGGCTGTAGCTATATTGTGGTTGTAGCTAATGATGTGGCTGCAGCTAGTGTTGTGGCTGTAGCTATATTGTGGTTGTAGCTAGAGTTGTGGCTGCAGCTAGTCTTGTGGCTGCAGCTAGTGTTGTGGCTGTAGCTATATTGTGGTTGTAGCTAGTGATGTGGCTGCAGCTAGTGTTGTGGCTGTAGCTATATTGTGGTTGTAGCTAGTGATGTGGCTGCAGCTAGTGTTGTGGCTGTAGCTATATTGTGGTTGTAGCTAATGATGTGGCTGCAGCTAGTGTTGTGGCTGTAGCTATATTGTGGTTGTAGCTAGAGTTGTGGCTGCAGCTAGTCTTGTGGCTGCAGCTGGTGTTGTGGCTGCAGCTAGTGTTGTGGCTGCAGCTAGTCTTGTGGCTGCAGCTAGTGTTGTGGCTGCAGCTAGTCTTGTGGCTGCAGCTAGTCTTGTGGCTGTAGCTAGTCCCGTGGCTGTAGCTGTTACCCTGTAACAAGAACAAAGAGACGCAGATTGTGTAGATTTGTGAGTTAGCTGGTCACGTGGGGTTGATGAGGTAGATCATGAGCTCAGCCACCATATAAGAACAATACCCAGGTTTACGCCTGGCTGGGTGGGGTAGGTCACCCTGGGGCGGGCTTGCATATAGTGTACCGGTAGAGTGTTCGAGCAGTGTTGGATGCGATTTAAGGATTTCTAGGCACGGTACCAAACTAGCCATACAAGTTACCAAGCAAGCGTTCTACCATTAGACCCCGACTCTTAAGTACCCTATCAGACCAGGAAATCTGTTTTATTACCCACTTTAGCATTTTAAAAAGTAATTTTAGAAACTCAATTTTAGACGTTATTTTGGTGTTTTTAAACTGCTGTTTTTGTAAATTGTAATATAAATTATTATACTCTACTTTGATCGCTCTAAGAAAATACTTAGATAAAGAAATCGATGTTTTAGTAATAAAAGTTGCAATTTTGAGGAGAAGAGGTGTCGGGTCCGGAGGGGGGGGGGGGGGGGGGGGGGTCAAGTTGAATTTGATGTCATTTCTGGTGTGTGAGTCTATCTTTTTTTGAAGATGGGATGGGGGGGGGGGGGGATCGGTCAAATGGCCTGGAGTCATATATGAAAGACCTTTTTTTTTTTTTTAAAAAAATTTTTTTATTTAAAGCCGAAACAACTTCCGCCGCACTCAGTGTTTCTTTCAGGCTTTTTTTGTCGCGGGATAGGGGGCACTTGATATTTTCTGGTGGGGGGGGGGGGGGCGGACTAAAGTTACCGGAGGGGGGGGGGGGGGTCTATTTTCTGTATACATTCCATTTCGTTAGAGGGGTGGGGGCACCCGAAGAGATGCCTGGAAGAAACTCTGGCTGCACTAAACCGTTATGTTGTACCTCTCCGCCATTGCTCATTATCGAGATAATGGAAGAGGTATCTACGTGTCGGTGACCTTTTTAACAAGGTACCTTCTTTAATTACTACTGGTAATATGTTATTGGAGACGTGGATTTTGTTGTATTAAATCCAAATACTTTAAACGGTGAAATACTTTAATCGTGAAAGTATCATGGTCGTGTTTCTGATTTACACAGTTTTTTTAAATATCTGATGGAGAAGGGGCTGAGAATTTGTGTTAAAAGAAGGAGTGACCCCCCCCCCCCCCCAACGAAATTGAAAAAAAAGAATTTTATATAGAAAATATAATATCTGTTGTTCGCCCCCCCCCGCCCCCCCCCCCCTCGAGAATTTTAAGTGTCCTTCCTCCTCAAAAATAATTTTAAGAAGTTTCAAGTGCAGGTAGAGACTAACCCATCACCATCATGCTTTAACAACAGCACATGCATGATGTGTATCTAAAGATGTCAGAACATCAAGATCAACACATCACCATCATGTTGTAACAACAGCACCTGATGCATGATGTGTACCCTGAGATTTCAGAACATCAGGTTCAAATGTGTCTGTGCGTATGTCTGTCCGTCCGTCTGTGTGTTCATGTGTGTGTATCAGTGTGTGTATATGTTGACAGCCCCAACGACCTGAACAGTTGACGTAACACCCTTTGATTAAAATACACGTTAAAAAAATGACCCGCCACCTTTCGTGTTTCCCATCAAGTCGTAAAACCCGAGGTGTCAAATCGGCAAGTTATCGATCCCACATCAGCCAATGGCGACACTGGGTTTCCTGCCAGATGGGCGGGGCTTGATCGCGAGAACGCAACCCGACTCCGCGGTCGAATAGTCACAGACGACACGTCCCGGGGCATGTCCCGTCCCCGCCGTCTCCGCCTTTTGATTGGCAGGTGAGGTCAAGTCGGGGGCATGCGTCGTGTCCCCGCGGATGTCCTGACTTCTGCTTTAAACTTTAGACTTTCACAGCAGTCACATTTCTGGCCAGGCGGCGCTCGACTCTTGGACTTTACTTCTGCTTTCATTCCTGGAACTTTTCACAGTCTTCATTGTTAATTAAGTTCTTAAGTCGGTTAATGAATTTATTTATTTTAAAAGAATTCCACCACTGACTTGAAACAAAACGTGTGATAGCTGAATGCCAAAAGTGAAGATTTCTGTCAGGATTAACTCCAGCCGTCATGCCTGTAAGGAGCTAGCCGTAAAACAGATTCCAGAGCTGGTGCGACCCTCTCTCAAGAACTGACCCAGGACATTCTCCAGCCGTGTGCCCGGCTGTAGCTGTGACGTCTGCCAGCTCCGGCTGTAGCCCATCATGAACCGGCCGACTGGAACTTCTAGTAAGTGAAAACCAAAATCTCTGGTCTCCGTAGTGAATTAGATGCATTAATGACATAATAATTTGGCTGAACATGAAGTATATTTAATTGATTAGCAAACTTAATTAACTAAAATTGTATTAAGTAATCTGGTTTATTTTAGTTTCAATTATTTTTTGAATGACGAATAATATAATTAAATTAATCTAGTTGTATAATTTAATTGTGAACTATTTTTAAAAGAAACTTAATTAAAATACGGTAAATATAGGCGGAAAGTCAGTTTAATATTTATTCATTGTGTTAGTTGTTTGAAAAAAATCACCTTACAAACCAATCTATAAAATTAATATTTTAAGCTTGTATAAAAATGAAAAGTGTGCTTAAAAAGTTCAAGTAACTAAAATATTAAATACTGGCTGTTCAGTCATATATCCTAGCTAATGTACGACACGTTTAACAAATAATATCAAACCTGCCCACCTTGTCCATTGGTTGACTAAAAAGTACGAGTCAAAGTGCTGACCAAATACACTGACATTTCAAGTGGACGAATATGTTGGGCCGCTACATTTAAAATGTTGGATTCTAGTTTCTCCAAATTTATATTGTTGGATTCTAGTTTCTCCAAATTTATATTGTTGGATTCTAGTTTCTGCAAATTTATAATGTTGGATTCTAGTTTCTCCAAATTTATATTGTTGGATTCTAGTTTCTCCAAATTTATAATGTTGGATTCTAGTTTCTCCAAATTAATAATGTTAGATGCTAGTTGCCCCAAATTTATAATATTGAATTCTAATTTCTCCAAATTAATAATGTTGGACTCTAGTTGCACCAAATTTTTAATTTTGGATTCTAGTTTTACCAAATTTATAATGTTCGATTCTAGTTGCACAGTATTTATATTTTTAAATTCTAGTTTCTCCAAATTTAAATTGTTGGATTCTAGTTTCTCCAAATTTATAATGTTGGATTCTAGTTTTACCAAATTTATAATGTGCGATTCTAGTTGCACAGTATTTATATTTTTAAATTCTAGTTTCTCCAAATTTATAATGTTGGATTCTAGTTTCTCCAAATTTATAATGTTGGATTCTAGTTTCTCCAAATTTATAATGTTGGATTCTAGTTTCTCCAAATTTATAATGTTGGATTCTAGTTTCTCCAAATTTATAATGTTGGATTCTAGTTTCTCCAAATTTAAAATGTTGGATTCTAGTTTTACCATACATAAAATGTTGAAAGCTAATTTTCAACACAGATACAATGTTGGTTACTAGTTTCACCATATTTAAAATGTTGAGTCCGAATTACAACAAATTTAAAATGTCGCAATTTACTTTCACCAAATGTTGGACACTAGCGGTGAGTTACCCATTGGTGACACAAAATAATGTGCATTACATGTTGGTGACACAAACAACTTGTATTACATATTGGTGACACAAACAATTTGTATTACATGTTGGTGACATAAACAACTTGTATTACATATTGGTGACACAAACAACTTGTATTACATGTTGGTGACACAAACAATTTGTATTACATGTTGGTGACACAGACAATTTGTATTACATGTTGGTGACACAAACAATTTGTATTACATGTTGGTGACATAAACAACTTGTATTACATGTTGGTGACACAAACAATTTGTATTACATGTTGGTGACATAAACAACTTGTATTACATGTTGGTGACACAAACAACTTGTATTACATGTTGGTGACACAAACAACTTGTATTACATGTTGGTGACACAAACAACTTGTATTACATGTTGGTTGATAAAGGTGAGACTGAAAAAAAATTTATGCCATGTGTTTAACGTTATCAATTGACCGATGTTTCTGTTGATGATAAAATTAATAATTCAGTCGATCTTAAAGTCATCGATATATTTAATGATATATCGACGGGGGAAATTGTTGTTCTACTTAACGAAATTAAATATAATATTTACATTTATTTTACATAACAATCATTGAAACCATTTAAAAACACATTTGTTTCATGTAGTCCATTCTTTAATTTTAATATTTTAAAAACAAAAAACAAATAAATGTTCTAGTCATTCTGTCTTCAAATTAGTCAGGTTTTTAAAATTTCGAAAATTATAATTAACCGTTGTTGAGTGATACACATTAAGAGATAATTCGTTTCTTTCAAAAACGTACGTTTTATTTTTATCTCTATTATGAGTCACTTCGGCTTTGTAACTTTGCATAAATTACTGTCTTTATCACAAATTAGCGGTTCTTTATTTGATAGGTTAATTCCATGCAAATTTCATGAACTTATGGTCGGATTTAATTGTTGGTCAGGTCTTTATTTTAAAAAGGTACGTGTTGACTTTAATTAAGACGTTGATTAGAAGTTTAGTAATGACCTTGTGGCGTCAGTGTTGAGGGGGTTAAATAATTAATTAGTCCTCGATACACTCAACGGGGGGAGCTATAAATAAAACACGAGGATCCAACCAGATTACACATAACACGTGTTGTAATATTCATCTTGCAAATAGACGGGTATCAATAGAATTTTATAGACTTACGATTGGGGGGGGGGGGGGGGGGTAGCGTGGATTTCATACATTGGCTGTAGCTGTGTGCAGTCTGACGCATCGGTTGGGTACACATGTACTATTCATGTACGCGCGTATGATTGTGTGACATCTATTTATGTACATGTGACTGTCATTCTTGTACGACCGCTTGTTTGACAGCCATTCATGTTCCTGTGATTGTCGTTCTTGTACGTAAAATAGTGAGACAAACATTTATATGATTGTTATTCGTGCACGAATGATTGTGTGACAATTATTTGTTTACATACGATTGTCGTTTATGCATGTACAATTTATCCGTATTTTGTACACATTATCTATTCATAAGGATTATATTCTGACTAACACAATACCATGAAACAAAAGCGTACACTATTAGAATCACAGAGGACGTTGGCTACTGAGGTTTATCGGCCTCTACATTAGAGAAAGTTTTAATTAAATCAATAAGCAAACATAGTAAACAACAACATAATATAGATTTAAATTTATCATTGATTAAATTTTTGATGCAAATAATTTAAAACCGGACCGCTTGAGACAGTTTGTCAGATCGTAGGCCTACACATTTTAAAATTTTAACAGATTAAGAATGTATTAAAATGTTTTATAGTTGTCTTAGAGTAAATAGAAAGCAGAAGATAAAAATCTGACAAAAAATAGTTGCGATGAAAACGGACAAAAATTAAACACAGACAAACACAACACCCACAAACTTAAGACACGCGAGCCTAATATTGACACAAAATTAAACACATAAAAACCGCAACACACAAAAACTCAACACACACAAACTCAATACACACATAAACTCAATAAACAGAAACTCAATACATACAAACTCAACACACATAAAACTCAATAACACAAACTTAACACACACAAACTCAACACACACATAAACTCAATAAACAGAAACTCAATACATACAAACGTAATAGGCGCTACAGTGTTAACACATACAAATGTATAAAAACATATCGGACTGCAACATTCCTGAATTTGGGCTGATTTAAAAAAAAAAAAAATTCATTCGCTTGGTTTATCAGTTTGAGATCCACTGTTTTAATCTATATTAATCTGGTTCCAATAAATCATAGTTTAAAAACCACAGCTTCAACCTTTTTATGGTCTGTAAATATATAACAATATGAGACTCGCTCTTCCAATCGACTCTAACGCAGCTAGTATGTGAGAACCACTCCCCTGTTAGTTGGGCATCGGTTAGCCAAGTCTAGAACCCTTGTTTGAATCTCCAATAGCGAGACACACTCGGCTCTAGTCGTTCAGTTCCTGGGGTGGGACGGTGTGCACTTTGTGCCGGCGTTAAATCTATACCCTCATTACCGCATTCAAATATCAAATCAATGCACGCAATCATCGCCGTGTCATCTAATTATCTGTTCCCCTCCCCCACCCTCCTCCAATCTAAGAATAAACACTTACGGATCGCTGTATCAGACAACTTATTAACCCCCTCCACCCACCACCTCCCACCCCAGCACAAAAAAAAATCACTAGCACCAATGTTCATTGTGTCTGGATAATAATATAAAGTGTGACGTCAGGGGTACGGTTCCACAGGTACGTGTGACATCACCAGGTGAATATCAAAGGTCACCCTCTCCCCCCCACGCCCCCACCCACCAATAGCTCATCGATAGCACCCAGGACTGTGTCACAAGATGGCGTCATAAGACGCTGATGTCAATCCGTCTTGACGCGACACAGGCCAGAAGTATAGGATAAAAGACAATGTTACAGACGGCCGTGTTGCTAGTTGTCCCATCTATTGAGCGAGGAAGTGGTGGTCCATTGTGGTCTAGTCACCACGGCGCATAAGTTGTGGTCTATTGTGGTCTAGTCACCATAGCGCATAAGTTATGGTCCATTGTGGTCTAGTCACCGTAGCACATAAGTTGTGGTCCATTGTGGTCTCGTCACCACAGCATATAAGTTGTGGTCTATTATGGTCTCGTCACCACAGCACATAAGTTGTGGTCCATTGTGGTCTAGTCACCACAGCATATAAGTTGTGGTCTTGTGGTCTAGTCACCACAGCACATAAGTTGTGGTCCATTGTGGTCTAGTCACCACAGCACATAAGTTGTGGTCTTCACGTCCCCAGAAACATACAATAATTGTGGTCCACATTCAATAAATGGCACCTCTGTCGCCTGATAATTTCCTAGAGCGCCTAAATGTGATACGCACTATTTATAGTATTAATATAAAATAATTGTGGACAGTTTGGTATATGCATTGCGGCATTTTAACCCAACAGATTAGAAATATTAATACAAAAAAAGAAAAAAAAAGAACGTGAAAAAACTAAAGAAAACGCCCCCCCCCCCCAACCACCCTTTTATTTTCTAATGCTTACTTTGTTTTCTACTTAAAATAGTCACTGATTCATACATTCTTTAAATAGTTACTAAATCATACATT